ATTTAAATGATTAATTCCAAAATCTGCATCAATTGATAGATAGACATATTGTACCCGAATTTCATATTAATTGATATTTTTGAAAAATTATTCGTAATTCATAATCAAGTCAGTCATTTGATTGAAATTTTAACGGAAGAAAATTAATACGCACGTGTACGTTTAAATAATCATGTGACATGTGTTGTTAGTTATTATACATCCAATGTAAACTATTTAAGTTTCTATGTGACATATTATAAAATATATTATAACATATATCCTTATAGTCTAATCTGTAGCAATGAAATTTCACTGCATTAAATTGAAATTTCAATGCAGGCATTAGTAGCAATTGCGCCAATGTTACTGCTAGTGAATTTTATAGCAAGATGAGAATGGAAAATCTATTCGATAATTAAAGTGAAAAATTTACTTCAAAAAAGAATGAATTTGGAGATTAAAATAATGACAGAATAATGTCATTCCAAATCCAGATAACAAAGCCTACGGAGACAGATTTTGAACTGAGCATGCTATCAATCTAGTAATCTATTAACCTTAATTATTAATTATTATTTTATTTTTAATTATTTTATTCCGCCTCTTATGTTTATGTCATATGTGTTTCTCAAAATACGTCTCGTTCGTAACGACCATGACAAACATGTGACAAACGGTATGCTATGTCGCTAAATTCACTCCTTGCAGTAACATTCAATCCTGCTAAAAGTTGATAATGCCTCTTGCAATGCTATCAATTAATACTTAAACTTAATTAATACTTACTTCGATTAATCGAATGAAATAATCCACTTCTTTAGAGTAAGTAAAGAGTAGATAGTAGACAGACTAACTTCAAAGCAGTGAAAATCCATATTTAAAGCAATGACTTTGCTACTCACTTTTGTAGCAGTAAAATTTTCATTGCTACAGATTTAGAATAGAAGTGTAGAGTAGAAAATTTATCACAAAAAATATTTTAAACACACATATACTCTAAAATATATATTGAAAAGTTATTTGACAAAATTTTTACAAAATTTATTAATAATATCAATAAACTTTTATTTTATTCGTTATTCAGATAACAAATATAAATATTTTATAATTTTACATTATCTTGTTACAAACAAGATACCATTAATTTTTTTTATGAGAATAAAGATATTTTCTTTAAATTATTATATATACAATTAATTACGGTACAAGTAACATAAAATGTTTGTAAAATAGATATAATTACTAATATTGCATTACGTATTTTACGTTAGCGATATAGATTAAGATATAGAAGCACAAAGATTAAGCATTAAATATATGATTCATTTATATGTAGTTGTAACAAGGTATGGCTGAATGAAGGCCGCGCGAAAGTCGTTCTATTCACATAATTTTAATACATTAATACAGGTAACAACTTGATCTTGTGCTAAAATAGCATTGACCTCACACAAGAAAAACTAAGCAAGATATGTTTTATTGTTTCATAACATAAAGATTACAGTAGATTCTATATATATTTTTTATTATATTTATAAAATAAACATATAATTAAAAAATGGAAACATTCCGTTTTTATATCAATGTACTGTTATATCAAACTGTTTATCCGTAGAATCATCCAGATGATGTATTACAACGTGGAATTTCATCATTTTATTAGAAATCATTAATCATGACTAAAGAAATCTGAGAGAGAGGCGAGAGGAAGAAGAAGAAAGGGAGAAACTTATACAGAACTAACAAAGAAATATGCTTAGATATTTTGATCGAAAAATAATGTTTTAAAGATAAGAAGCTTGCTTTGCACGTGAGAGTGCACGTTGTAGAATTAGTGATATAATGAGCTTGTAATTAGTAAATATGTATACAGTACAATCATTTGATGCAAAACTTATTCTTTCTTGGCTAGTTTAGCACGTTCTTGCACGTAATTAACAATCGAGCCCATTGCGATTGCACAATTATGAGAAATCATATAACCATTCGTCAACAACAAAAAATCTCTTGTATAATTTTAATATCGATGATATAACGTTAATTATAAATAATATAATAATGTCAATAATGCATTAAAATAGCTAGAATTCTCAATCTATTCATCTATTCACAATATGCGATTTAATTATTTGCACTCTTCCTCATGCGAAATACGTGTGCGATAAAAACATTTCGTTTTTTTATCATTGTTACATAAAATAATTATTCTAGGAAAACCGATATTTTATACTTTTCATACTTTTGTTTCATAATTTAAAGTTTATTCTTATAGACAATCTGTAATTTACGTCAGATTTCAAATTGTAAAATTCCATTTATAATTTCATATAAAAATTATGTACGAAAGAAAAAATTGTATGTAATTAAAAGATCACGAATTGTAGGTCATTTAAAATAATAGATTTTAGATTTGCGAGTGTTAATGCGAAATATATGCCTGATCACGCACACGATATATTTTTTTTCATATACATATTACGTAAATAAAATATTCCTTCAACATTTTATCCGTTTTGTAAAAACAACAAAATCAATCAATTTTGTTGTATGAACACTGATTGGGAATTTACGATGTATAAGATAATATTCATAGTCAGATCTTATCATTTCAAGACCATCTTAAGTACAGTTTTAAGAAGTCACAAACCAATCAGAGGATCGTATTAGCGTCTTTAAAAACATTACTTAAAACAATCTTGAAATAAGAGCGGATTATGCATACCGCCCCTAATTAGAAATTGCATCTTCAGTTGCATATATAAACGTCATTTTTGTCTGAAAGCCTTCTCTCGGGTTTCCCTGATTTCCTTAAATTGATTTACGGAAGAAAAATTTACGGCATGCAGTCAAGTAAAGCAAAAACGTGCAATGATTTCGCGGAATGCACCACAAAGAGACGCAATAATGGCGACAATATATTCATTTAATTTTATCTCGATTATGTCCACATGAATCATTTGGACACACCCAAATTCTTACAATTTCCTTAAAATACACGTCACGTTGATTCCACGAAAGCGAATAGTTTAACTTATACTATTAAAGGAATGTAATTACAATATCTCTGAATAAAAAAGATCCCCAAAAAGTCATTCTCAGAATAACGTTTACTGATATTCCAAATACGATTGCAATAGCTAAATTCGTTGCACAGTGAATGTCGAAGTAAGCAACATCATGTTGCTCTCAAAAGTCGGATCTCGACTGGATATCCTTGGGACTTCCATAATATGATATATATTCGATTTAGTCAATTTGACGCACGTCTACACCTGGCACGACATATCAATATCAATTTAATATGTCGATACATATCGCAGAGATATCGGAATTTGATTGAGGTTAAAAAAATATAAAAAGTGCTTTGCGATGTATTTTATGTGAAACAATATATGATATTTTATATATAAAAACTAATAATCATATATCTTTTTCCTAAGAGAAAAACTAAATAAAGTACAATTCAAAAAATTATATTGTATTCTATTTGTGATAAATGATTGTTTGATATATTAATTTGAACTGAGAGAGAGAGAGAAAAAGAGAGAAAGAGAGAGAGAGAGAGAGAGAGAGAGAGAGAGAGAGAGAAAGAGAGAGAGAGAGACAATAAATTTGTTTAAAAAGTTCAAAGATTCTTTATATAAGATAAGTTTCAAATAATAACAAACCTTTCTCAAACATATATTGAAGTACAAAAGTTCTTGAAAATTAAAGTAAAAAATGAAGTAAAAGAGGTCTTGAAATTTTAGGTAGTTAAACGAATATACAAATTCGTAATTATAAACTTTTAATCCAACATTAAAATTTTTTAACGATTATTATACTTAATAATAATTGTCTATAAGACAAATTAGACTGTTAATAATTAACGAAAATTGTTATTTACAAATTGTTAACAAAATACTCAAATGAAATTTGCAATTATATTGAAACAAATAATTCTGGATTCTGGCACAGGAATTTCTCAAGAAAAAAACTTCAGAGATTCGTAAATCACATATCGCTTTTTATGGTATCCTTTTATGCTCCACAGATCCGTTTTGTTATTTACGTATATGTAGATAAGCCTTGGAACGGGCCAAGCATTTTGCGAAACTCGTAAATTCAGCACATTCATGAGTGCGCATCAAGGAATCGTTTACTAGTTAGAAAAAAAGAAAGACGCAAATCAAAAGCAGATAAAGTGATTTTATAAAATAACAATATTACTTTATTGAATATTTGGTATTAAAAAACGCAAAATATTATCGAAATTATTTGCAACTGTCGATCTCCATAAAAAAAAAAATCGTTAATCGCTATAATGTTTTTCTCATATTTTTTCTCAATGCCAAGCATTAAATTCTTTTAAATTGTTAATCAGCCACTTTAAAAGAAGATAATATTTTTCTTTACCTTTAAATCATTATCTTGCAAACTAATTAATAAAAAATTGGGTGAAGTTAAAGTTGTCATCAGAGACGACAGCATATTTGATCGAAAGATAAAATTCTAATATTTTTAATTGCTGCGCTGCGCATGTAAGTAAATGTCTGGATCAAATGAACATCTGAATCATTTTCAAAAATGTCAGATTGCTATTTTTCACAGTCTATCACACGTTTGTAAGAAATCAATAAAATGGAGTTCTCGAAGATGATAAGACTCACTTTGTCGTTCACTAACAATTATAATTTCATACAATTCATAAATGAGATATCGCGGCGGAATGTGAGTGTTCGATTAAAAAATTTCTACATAAAGAATTTCCCTATGAGATCGTCAATTGCGGTTTTCTGTAAGTTTCCTGTTATTTACTTACGTGTCCTTCGTGGAAGGTGACGATTAAGAAAAAGGATCGGATTGCTTGATCAGAACGGAAAACTTGCTAATAAAAATCATTGGAATTACGAGCTTGTTCGACTGTTCCTTATCCCACTCCCACTCACTCATTCAAGTTAGCAGAGAGGCGAGAGTAGAAATATAAACACCATCCGTAGATTGTAATGCCGTGAAATCGTTGATTCCGATCGCGACGGTTGTTCAGATCGTTTCGGATTAAGTGTTGAAAGTGTTCGTTCCATCTAAAAGTCCTTTCAGGAAGATATCGGGAGAATGTTTCTGCAATCGATAATTTTCACCATATTTCTTAGCAGCCTTGCGTTATCAGCTACTCCCGATGTAGAGCTGCAATTACTTCACGTGGTAAAGTTTTACTTCATTCAAGTGCACACAGAAAGCGTTCGTAAAACCAGTGAGGATTATTTTTTTCTCAGGAAGATTGTATTCAAATAATGATATAAAGAAATTATGTTTTTTTCAAAGATTTAATTTAATACTTTTCTGATTTTTTTGCAAATATATAATAATTATTTTCTCCTTTTCCAAAATGTGAAATGTGTTATTTCTACACTGTGTTATGTCACTGAGAGGCAAACATAAATTTTGCAAATTATGCAAGTGTGAGTTCGATGCCGAGAGAAATTTTCGAGAGAAATTAAAAGAAAGCGATCCCTCGTGACAAAACATTTACATTATTGCGATACCGTCTGTGCGGTAACAGTGATGGTAACGAATGAAGACGACATAGCTTAAATAAATATATTCTGTTTCGAAGGTATTTCGCCACGGTGATAAAGTGCCCCATCGAGAGTTTCAAAATTATCCCAATGATCCATATCGCGACTACTCTTACTATCCAATGGGAAACGGAGACCTGACTAATGTAAGTATAAATCACAACAGTTACAATAAAATATATCACGTAATCAAATATTGTTAATCCAATTACGTGATTTAATTGTAGTTTTAGTTTGTTGTCTGCTTAAAATCAATGTCGTGTTTCTCAATTATTATTTCCTTTTCTTATATATATTTTTTTAAAATCTTATATAAATTTTTTTAATATGGTTTATGTTTTTGTTAAAAATAAAGAAAATATTTTTGTCCCTATCAGGGTGCCCTTTCAAAGATTGATGACCCTATTAATGTACCCCCCAATTTCTGTTTATCTATATTTGACTTATATTTTAACATATAATTACTTAACAGATAATAGACGTAAGCTAATTGTTTAAGGTAATATTGCATAAATTATATTTTAATTATATTTATAATTTCAATGTACACTCATAACACAATATTCTCAACTTCAATAAAGGACACACTAATAGGGAGAAGCTTAAAATCTTATATTTTACTTGACTCATATAAATTCCTCTAAATTATGATATCTTTTATCACAATCTAGGAAAATATTTATTATATTTTAATAATTAAAAAATAGAATATCATCTTTAGTATCATATTAAAATAATTTAATTTAATAAAAAAAATACCTATTCTTATTTATTAGTGCTAGTTTCTTATATTTAATTAAATACAAAGACAGACACAATAATAGAAATAGTTACTCTTGAAGCAAATTAGATTACAACGCTAGCATTAAATCTTTATTTATTCATATTCTTGTTATCTCTCTTTTGTCTCTTACTCTTGTCCCTATTTTTATGCAGCATATAGTAGTGTAAGTGTTATCTTCAAATTTCCAAAATCTCTAAAATAATTAATTTAAGTAATTTCCGTAAATGAGAAATCAATTCTCTACCTTTGTTAAATATTCGTTATTTTCAATTAAAGTTGAGAAAACAGTTCGGTTTAAAAAAAGTCCGTAAAATTTTCCGGCTCTTCGAAACCTATCCAATTCCATCCTTTTTCTCATTAGCAAGGCAAGATGCGAGAGTACAAAATCGGGACAATGTTGCGCGAGAGATACGATCAATATTTCGGACCGGATTATTGGCCGTCCAAGATCTATGCCCGATCTAGCGAAGTCCCGCGGACTCAGCTGTCTCTCCAGTTAGTTCTGGCAGGATTATTCCCGCCCTCCGAGAAGCAAACCTGGAATCCGCACTTGCCCTGGATTCCGACATGGACGTTCTTCGTGCCATACAAGACTGACAACCTCTTGTTTCCGCATTATTGCTATCGGTAAGTAACTTTACAGAGAATTGATCACAAGGACTTGATAACAGGATTATCTATCAAATCTCTTTTCTTTAATCTTCTTTTTCCAATCTTTTTTTCATGAACACTTAAAATATATTTGTTTCCCTTTTTTGTCTTGTTTTCAACTATTTTAGGTTTAATATAATCTAAAATAAAAATAGAAATATTCTCTCTCAAAAAATAGAGAGAAATAGATTTAATTATTTTTGTATGCTCTGCGCAAGTGCATAATGTTTTACACAGAAAACTCTAATAATATTTTAATCTAGTATTTCTAATTGTTTCATTTTTAGTCTCAAATGGTTATGCTAAAGTTTTAGTGTTTAAATAATTTGGTGTGAATTTTTATATATATCCAATCCAGCAAACTGCATACTAAATTTAATTTTTAATCTTGAAACGCAATAAACGGAACTAGAAATTAAAATTATTTACAGATTTTAAAGAAGTTTATTAGTATCAGATTATTAATATCCTTAAGATGCCTTGAGCATCAGTCTTATTATGTTGCTTGTCAATTTAATTTGTGATATTACTACTTTAGTTCTGTTTATGATTGTGTTTCAAGATTGAAAATTAAATTTCACGCGCAGTTTATAAGATTGGATATGTAATATAAAAATTCACGAATTGAATTATTAAAGCACTAAAGATCCAGAATAACTATTTAAGGCTTTCATTTCCTAGTTGTGTATTCATATTATTGTCTTTTGTCAAAAGATATTTTGTTGAAAAATTAAAATTAAAAAAGGGGCTACGAACCAAAATGCTAATGCTTAATAAATCTTACACATCAAGTATATACGAACAAATCTATCACTAAATCATTTTCAATGTTAATAAAATGTAAATAATAATAAATTTCAATCGCAAAGGAGCAATCATTAAAGTTGAGAAATAAATAACCATTAAAACGTCCAATCAAAAAATGCAAACATAAATTATTTTAAAACCGATGATTAAAAATATTTTCTTATACATATATAAACTTTGTTACTTCTCTCTTTTGATTATAAAACGATAATATTCCAATAACGTTCAATCAATAGAAATCTCCGTTGTTATCAATTAACAAATCTCAAAATATATGGATGGCCAATTGCGTGACTAAAAGTATCAGTATAACAAAAATTGTTGTATCATACTTGCAAAAGTAGATCAACGTTAATCTGAAAACATGAGAAAACTCCATCGAATTCTATAATTTCTTAAAAAATTTCAATTGCAATCAGTTATAAAAATACAAAATTTTGTAAAACAGTTATGACTGGAATCTTCAAAACGAACAGATAACTATCGTTAAATTTTAAAGGCCAATCAACTCATTATTTTGTTTAATATTTTTTCTCTTTATTTTTTAGATACATGGAAGAATATCAACGATTCCTTCAACTAGATGCGAAAGAGATGATTAATAAGTACAAAAATATAATGGATTACTTGACGGATCACACCGGTAAACTAATCAATACTACGGAAGCAGTTGGTCATTTATATAATCTATTGAAAGAGCAGGTAAGCAATTATTCTGATAGTAATAAATTTATAAGTTTATCTGAATTTTTATCATATAATCATTTTCAGAATGCACAAAATTTGACACTGCCAAAGTGGACGCAAAATGTTTTCCCGAGTCCGATGATAGAGTTGATAGAGTTAGATTTCAAACTTCGATCATATACAAAAACTTTAAAAAGATTAAACGGAGGTTGGTATTGTGCTATTATTGTAGAATGTTCTTGAAATAAATCAGCAAATCTTAAGGAGATGTAAGCAAAAGCATTAAGAAATCTCCAGGAAATTGAGGAAGTCAAAAGATGTAAAGTTGTCGCATCACTGATAATAAAAGATCAAGCTTAAAATTAATTGTAGCTTTGTGATACAATAAAAATGATACGTCATATCTGAAGAGCAAATGATCATATTGATTATCAGAATTCTGCTTGACAAGATTAAAAATTATAAATACTATAATAAATATGTAACAATTTCATGCAATTAATCTCAAGGAACTATGTATGCAAAATGTATGCAAAATATATATTTTCATTTATTAATCTCAAGGAATAGACGAGAACATAAAATGTGTAATTATTTTATACTCTGGTATAAATACCAAATCTATGTTCAAGTTCATAAAACGTCAATTCAAAGCACAAGGGAGTTATTTCCGACAGCTCCTTTAAAACTTAAAGAAAAAATAATATTCATTTTAAGATCAAATCTCTATGAATTTCTTAGATATTCTTATATAAAATTTCGCCACAGGCAGAAAGCATTTATAATTCAGAAATAATGTATTTTTCCGGATTCACAGTTATGTGACTATATTTCATATTCAAGATAAATAGAACATATCATTAAGATTTTGAAATTTATTTCAGGGACATCTTATTTTCTTTTTATTTTATTATTTAAAAATAAAATCTCAAAATTTTTAATTGTAATCGGTCTTTATATAAACAGGCATGCTGCTTCGTAAAATAGTAGATGATATTCAAGAGCACCAAACAGGAAAATCGCCACGTGATAGAAGAGCTTTTCTATTTGGCGGCCACGAAGTTAATATAGCTGCTCTTGCCTACACTTTAGGAACAAACGAACCAACAGTACCACCTTATGGTGCTACAATCATTTTAGAAACTCTCCGAGACAACAAGGGAATTTACTACGTTCGGGTATGTTAATATAAATATCTCACGCAACAAATAAGATCATTGAGGGGAAGACGTCACACTTAAGCCTTTATTCCTGAATAACTTCTTAATGTTATTGAATTAATGAATGAATTAATGAAAAAATATTATTTCTATATATTCTAGCAACCTTTCTTTATTTATACAAATCAATAAATTAAACTTTTGATTTGTATTAATAAAAAAAATTGATAAATTGATTGATCATATCCTGTAAAAGTGGCATCTTTCCCCTATACGGATAAGATGCCACCTCCTATGGAAAAAGATGTCATAAACAATTAAATAATGTGATGTAATATAAATTTGTATATTTTACTTATTTATAATTCATAATCAAAGGTTTAAGCTATAAGAATACATAAAGGTATGATAAAACAAATTGAAATATGAAAGAAAATAATCTAGGAAATAAGTTGGACATACTTTTATTTGTTTAAATAGCATTTCGTTAACTTAAAATATTTCGAATTATATAAAGCATCCAAAATTTTAATTCATAAAATCGTTTTAATGATGGAAGCAGGAAAATTATATTTTATGTTTACTGTCATCTTATTCCCAAGTGTAAGAGGAATATTCTTCAATTGCAACTTTTACGCATATAAGAATATTACAAATTATAATCTATATCATCCACATGACCTCCAGGGAACACTGATTAAAACCGTATATCATTTGCCCGGTTTTACAATAAGCATCGAAATACAGACCTTAGCTATTAGCATACCAAATATTACAAAGAGCATGTTTCACGACCTACCTTTTCATATTTCGTTATAATCTTTACCAATCAACTTTGGCATGAACATGTTCATCTCTGCTGATAACTGCGCAACTATAATATTTATCACATGCTTGTGCACAGCTATGGCCAACGCACGTTCTATAAAAAAATTATAAACAAAGTCTTTCCCCTTGTGGTATCTTCTCTTGAATTACCTAGAAATTATATTAATTTTTATAGTAATAAATTTTCTGTAAACAATTAATAACAAATCTATTTTCCGCGAAATGCAATTCAAGAAAAGACTTGATTCTATTTTCTATTCTAATAACTATATATTTTTATATCTTACGAGAAGTAGCCTCCATTTGATGCACACAATAACTGTCGGAACTGTTACTGTTCAATATCTCAACGTAATTTTTAAAACATTCTTTTTAGACCCGATTTCACAATTTACGTTCAATTTTTTAACCAAGATTTATTCCTCATCTTTTTTCAATTCTAAAAAGAGTTAAGCGCTTGATATTAAAGATTTATTTTTCGTGAACTTCTTCACAGGTTTTATTATGGTCTGGCGTTACGGAACAATTGAAAATACAGACAATCCCAGGCTGCGCAGAGATATGTCCCTTTGAGGACTTCCTCAGAATTGTGAAGGACGTTCTGCCGAGTGATGATGAGTATTACTGTCATCGGGATAAAACAGAGGATCTTAAAAAAAACGCACATCATCGATCGTCGGCAGCATGTATCGCTAACGACAAAACTTCGTGGTACATCTTTCTCACCGTTCTCTTCGCATTTATATCAAAATTCGTGCAAAAGTGACTTTTATCAATATAATCAGAATTCTAGATACTTTTTTATACTTTTTTTTTATTGTATTTTTTTCGCAGAAAAAGATAAGAGCCTAGCTACATGACCTTAAGTTAAAAGGAAATAGTTGCGAAAATCGTCGCAGTACGCGTTCTGACCGATATCGGAAATACTTCGCCGAAACTATGAGAACGTTCGGGAAGCCCAACGAGGTTGCGGCTATGCGTTTCGCTGCATGTGCTGCGGTTACCACGTTAATGCATTTTACCGCACGCGTTGTTACACTGTCGCGTTATACACGGATCACTGTATATATGTAAATAGCTATCGGTATATCAATTTCATAGTCGATATCGTATTCATTTAGAAATAGACTTCTCTTACTCATAGACACGTATTATCAGGAATGTATATTGTAAAATGTGTCTCTAAATTCCTAAACTATAATTTAAAAAAAGTAATTTTTTTCCACTTAAGTAAATATGATATTAAAGAGGAATTTTATATATACATCATCCTGTGGTAATATATTTCATAAATAAAAAAATTTAGTAAATTTTTTTTTATTTATTATTATATAAAAAATCATTTAGATCTCATCTGGAAAATAATATTTAATTGCTCATATATTATAAATACATATGTATACATGTGTATAATACACAGAATTAGGAAGTACTAGTTACTTGTAACTAATTTATAATTAGGCTCGGTTTTTCATTTTCTGGTTAACTTAATCTGATAAAGATTAAACTTAATCTGATAACCATAAATTAATCAGCTAATGAAAAATTAAGCTTTAGAGTTACTATTTTTCAGTAACTTTAACTTCGTTCCTTTTTTTCCAGTTGTAACTGTAATTTATTTAACTTAATTACATTTCCATTAGTAATTAATTTGAATTACACATTTTAAACTTATTTGTTAATTTAACGTGATTAGTTAGAATCTGAATAATTGCGCTACTATCGCTATCGATAGAAAACAAAGGCTGCGTTCAGAAGACAAACAATAATTTAGGGAATTATTCTGTAACTCTAAATGACTGTGATTGTAGCTTTACAATGTCATTGCGCAACTTGTTTACTATATACAATACCTATGCAAAGTTTCAGTCGTTAGAAGTTACAGAATAGGCCCCTAAAGTTGGCTTATTGTTAATGTCCACTAGCTTTAGCTCTCGTAAGCGAATTATCTGTACAAATATTACATTATAATATTTTTATTACAATTTTTATTCTGCTGTTGTTAATGTCTACTAGTTCCTTACATGTAAAGAGTCGTCTATAATAGGAATAATATAGTGTAAATTGTATAAGCTATAAGAAATTGATCAATCAAAGTATAATGAGAAGAATAATTGATTACGACTAGTTAATTTCTTACAACTTACTGCTTACTAATGCAATATTACTCCTACTGTAGACGAAAAAGTACATTATATTATCTGTTTGAATATCATAAGTAAAGTCGTAAGCAAAGCGACCAATCATAGTAGATAACATGAAGTTATTAACTTACATTTTTTTTATTATTGGCCAATTCGCTTACTGCTTACATTTCAAATAGAACAAAAACATATTACATTAGTACATTATAAAGTGTAGGAATGACTATTTTTGTTTTAAAACTGTTTAAGATTATTTTAAAAACGATTTTTAGGAATCAATTAAATAATCATTATTGTATAAACGTTTCAAAATCGTTGTTTTTTAAGATAAAATATAAATGAAAAGAATAAGTAAGTGGTGAAGGATTGCACTATATATCATTTTAATTAATGAAACGAAAACATGAATTTATCAAGTTACAATGTCTGGCTGTGTAGCAGATTACTGCACAAACTCATTTCTGGGTTTGCCTCATTCGCACTCCGTACTAACTCTTACTTGAGGTACTCTATGAGGTACGCTATTTCATTTGTGCGTTTTTGTCGTGAGACAAATGTGTGTAGGACAGAAAGATTCTCGGATCTATCTGTTTTATAGCCAATCAACAGGCTTAAAAAATTTGTCGAAACACATAAACAAAGTGGTCTTTTGTAGAGGCCTTTTAATATACTCTGTATTTGCATTATATAATATTTGTCTCTTTGAGAAAGGAGGTCAGTCAGACTTATATGAATCTATTGTAGCACACGAATTAAAGAAAATAATTTTTTTTAATATCTAGGCATTAAATTAAACTCCGATTTATATCCGTTTGTAACAACTTTTTTTTCGTTATCTCAAGAGTTTCAAAAATATAAAGGATTAAAAAAAATGCCAGCACTTCACTTTGAGATATTTGAAATCTTAAACGATGTCATTTCGGGATCATTTGTACCTGGTTGTATCACCATCGATTTCATTTAAACTTGATGGCGAATTTGGCTTTCACCCCTATTTAAAAAATAAGGTACAATGAATCCTTTAAAAATACAAACGAAACTAACGGGCACAAACGAAACAGCACCCGTTTACAGATTTAAAAATATCTTAAAGAATGGCAAAGTTGGCTCTCACTTCTGTTTTAAAAATTCGATACAATCACCTCCTCAAGGACAAACGAAACCGATGGTGATATAAATCAAGTTTAATTTAATATCTATTAAAATATATTATATTTTTTAAATAGGGATGCCAGGTTCACCAATCAGAGCTTTTCTAATCACTCCTTTACTAACTGTTTACGTGAAAATTTCCAATCATATTTAAGTAATTTTCCGATCATATACATATAACTTCTATGTAAAATTACGTGCATTTTTTTAGTGAACGGATGTCCAGGATCTATTATAATCATCAGGTTATATAGATGTTGTAAAAACGTTAGCTAAATTTGTTGATAAACGTTTTAAAATGGTTTTGTTATAGCAAAAAAATATAACATTTTAAAATAATTTTTATACTGGTTTTATAAATTCGTTTAATTGTTATTTCTAATGTTTCCTATACAGACACTTATAACATATTAAAAAGTTTATTTGTAACCGTTATTGACGTTTTTTCAATAATTTTTGTTCTACTTGGGATCTTATTAACTTTGTTAAATAATATTCCTAAAATAATAATAGATGATTATATGTCAATTCCTGTTAATATTATGTTATTAAAAAGTAATAATATTTAATTTTAAACAAATGTATAATATAAAAATCGCAATACGATATATCGCGTACACTGCAATTAAAAAAAAAATCGCAAGCACGATGCACAATTTTGAAAATCCCACATCCCTATTATTTATAAGTTCGGGAACAGTTGCGGTTTTTTTATTTCAAAATTTGTCACGAAAAGTTAAGTCAAAAAAAGTCTTTAAAAATTTTTGAAAGCATTTATATTTGAGAACATAACAACAAGATTTTCTCTTTTTTCAATCAATTCTTTAATTTCGAAGAAGAAAACTTTTATAAAAATAAGTTTTTATAGTTTTTATAAGAAATTCAAGAGTAATTGCGAAAAATCATCGCATCATATTTTTTAAAAACTATTAATTTTTTCAATTTTATGTACTAATTTGAAAACGAAATATAGAAACGAAACTAAAAAACAAATTCACAGCTTTATCTTTTCCCCTTAAAATTTTCCTTGAAAACTTCTCTACGAATACGAACGATAGGGACATATATTACATACATGCAGACATATATTTAATACACCTAATATGCAGCATTAAACTCTATAATATACTATATAAAAAGAGTCATTAAATGAAGGCTTTAATAAATTGTGTATTCTGTGCCTCTCCAACATGCTATGTGAGACAGACAGTACATGATCTGTTACAGATCATGATGAGATCTGTCTTTCAATTGACTTACTTAAGAGCAGTTTTTCTTGCATTACGAATCCTTTTGTTCTATAGAGTTCAATGCTATATAATATTTTTCTATCACGATTATACAAAAACACAGGCTCAACATGTTGTTTTTGTATATCAAAGAACATTATACTGCCGGCGCCGCTGTATTATGAGTTGCTATAGTTACATTATTTTTCGCTTTAAATATACACGACTGAAACTATAACCAATAATCATAATCTTCACAATATCTGTCTGTTGTAATAGTAATCATTATATCAGTTCTTATAAAAAGGATTTTAATATACATAAATAAAATTTCATAAGAATTATACCAGTATTGCTTAAATAAAATAAACATTTAAAAAATCCATTTTAACACTGTACTATTTTCCGCTATAAAATATGAGTGTCTTTTATATATAAAAAAGTGTATGTTTTGCAGTGTGAAATTTTCAAAATCGAAAAGTAGAACTTGATTAATATTCATGTAATAGACATATAATTATATCCATAATTAATCGTCATTGATAAAAATTACTTGTGACACTTTAACATTTTTTTCTTCACTGTTCTACAAGTATCCAGAAAGTACATTAGTATCCATAAAGTCTTGTTATATTTTTTAATATTTATTGTAAATAATGTTATATTTATAATCGATACATGCGTAAAAGTTGACAAATCAAGTATTAATAAATCAATGAAAGATTTCTCCAAATGTGTTCTCGATCTGCTTGTCTTTATTGATACGCTTTAAAATATAAAATAAAAATAATATAAGTTTCTTTCACATGTTAAATACATAATTAAATTTCTATAAAGATCTGGCAGTAGAATGATCCCAAGTAAAAAATAAGCGACAGTTTGTGACGGGTATTTAAATTTACGCTATCACAGATAGCGTAATCAGATTAAATTCTCCGTTTGGCAAATGCGAAATTGGAGCAAATTTGATTTCAAAATGAACGAACCGACTCTTCTATTTTTGTCGGGGTGAAGAGTTCAAGAACCTGAAGAAAACGCGATCGAAAAGTGGTCTCCGTAGAATTGCGAGATGGAAATAGATACTGCTGCTTCGATCGACACGTTCATCATATTGATATAGAGCACCGTTAAAATCACAAAGAGAAAAAGGGCAATTTATATTTCTTTATGTATAACGCGCGACGTTTAATATCACGTTTAATATCACGTTTGATAGCGCACTAAGTTATCACGAAGGACGT